GTAGTGTAAAATTTTGGGTTTCTCGGATCTTTTCGCAATTCACAGCATAGACAGGGCGTGTCCAGAGTAGCCACGGAACAGGGTTTGAGCCGGACAGCTCGTCCAGAAGCCGAGATCCTGGACGTCCCACGTACAATCTATCCAATTAAAAAAAAACAAGTCAAATAAGTTAGAGATGGTCGAGTCGTTTTTATGCAAATTATGCCATTTTACGAGCTCCGATGCACACGGAACTGCCGGACAGTGTTTCCTGAGTACTGTACTGTAGGTGTTAGCCGATGAAATCATCGCATTCATGAAATATGACCTATTAACGCATTGTCCACCGAAAGTTGATGAGTTGTAATGTATATGAAATTATCAGACAGTGTCTCCCGAGTGTAGCACTGTACGTTTTGCATGATAAAATGATAATAAACTTAAATTATGACTTGCTGATGCATTGTCCACTGAAAGCCTGTGGAGGCCCCGTCAAATAAGTTACGGGTGGGCAAGTGACAAGTGACAGCTGTAACTTATTTGACGGGACCTCCATAGGCTTTCCGTGGACAGACCTTTTATAAGGGGAATATGAATATTAAAATATAATACTTCAAATATTGATCAATTAGGTTGAACATAAAAAATTCAAATGAACAGATAGTAATATTAAATTTAAACAGGATAAAACCAATCACATTTTGTTGAACTTGTTGAAGTTTGTATCCACATATCTATAAAGTAAAATTAAATAACAACTGCGTGGACAGACCTTTTATAAGGGGAATATGAATATTAAAATATAATACTTCAAATATTGATCAATTAGGTTGAACATAAAAAATTCAAATGAACAGATAGTAATATTAAATTTAAACAGGATAAAACCAATCACATTTTGTTGAACTTGTTGAAGTTTGTATCCACATATCTATAAAGTAAAATTAAATAACAACTGTGGAGGAGGTGGAGGTGGTGGAGATGAAGGTGGCGGGGAAGGTGGTGGGGAAGAGGAAGGGGAAAGGGGAGGTGGTGGTGATGGAGGTGGAAATGGAGGGCCAAGACCTGCATCATTATCCTCATCACTGGTGTGTTCATGGGTGTCCTTCAAAAGACCACACCCCAACAACTGTCAAATATCAAAACACATAATAATCACTAATCGCCTGAGCGAGGCCTATGGAAATCTGACAGTACTAAATTATTTTTCATTCAGCCAATAATTGATCTATTATTTAATAATTTACATCATCACAAAGCTGATGATCTCTGCTTTAAATTGACACCAAAGGGAATGCTGTATCTTATTCAGAAATGGAGTAATCAAGGCTCACATTCAGCTGTTTTGGTGCCTGAGTGAGGCCCATGGAAATCTGACAATACTAAATTAATTTTCATTCAGCCAATTATTGGTCTATAATTTAATAATTTACATCATCACAAAGCTGATGATCTCTGCTTTAAAATGACACAAGAGATAATCCTGTATCTTATTCAGAAATGGAGTAATCAAGGCTCACATTCAGCTGTTTTGGTGCCTGAGCGAGGCCCATGGAAATCTGACAATACTAAATTAATTTTCATTCAGCCAATTATTGGTCTATTATTTACTAATTTACATCATCATAAAGCTGATGATCTCTGCTTTAAAATGACACAAGAGATAATCCTGTATCTTATTCAGAAATGGAGTAATCAAGGCTCACATTCAGCTGTTTTGGTGCCTGAGCGAGGCCCATGGAAATCTGACAATACTAAATTAATTTTCATTCAGCCAATTATTGGTCTATTATTTACTAATTTACATCATCATAAAGCTGATGATCTCTGCTTTAAAATGACACAAGAGATAATCCTGTATCTTATTCAGAAATGGAGTAATCAAGGCTCACATTCAGCTGTTTTGGTGCCTGAGCGAGGCCTATGGAAATCTGACAGTACTAAATTATTTTTAATTCAGCCAATAATTGGTCTATTATTTAATAATTTACAAAATCATAAAGCTGATGATCTCTGCTTTAAAATGACAACAGAGAAAATCCTGTATCTTATTCAGAAATGGAGAAATCAAGGCTGACATTCAGCTGTTTTGGTGCCTGAGCGAGGCCTATGGAAATCTGACTGTACTAAATTATTTTTAATTCAGCCAATAATTGGTCTATTATTTATTAATTTACATCATTATAAAGCTGATGATCTCTGCTTTAAAATTACACCAGAGAAAATCCTCTATCTTATTCAGAAATGGAGAAATCAAGGCTCACATTCAGCTGTTTTGAAAGTGGT